CGGACGGGCTCTTTGGCAGAGGTCCTCAACATGGCTCAGCACATTAGACTCACCTGGGAGCTTCTGTAACTTTTCTATTTTTAATATAACTTTAAAATAAATTGCTATAGGCCATAGGCACTCACCAGAGAGATGAAGAGACAAACTGAGAAAGCATTCTCCAAACAGAAGGCCACACAGAAATCCCTCTTCCTCCATTCTCTTTGGACCCTGGGCATGCACGTATACATGCCCAGCGTGATTTTCATGCCTCTGAGTCTGGGACTTGAACCATGCAGTCAGCCATGTGGGAATCAGCTACCTAAACCATTATGCCACTAACTGGTCCCTCGCCTGGGGACTTTGTTTTTTTTTTTTTTTTGGAGAGGTTTTTGTTATAGGGCATGTGTGCTCGCCGGACAGACAGAGAGAGACAGAGAGACAGAAAGCAAGAAATCACCCCCCGGGGGGATGGTCACGTCGCAATCCCTTCTCCTCCATTCTCCTCTCGGGATCTTGGGCACGCACGCACATGCACCTGGTGTGAGTTTAAGCCACCGGGTCTGGGACTCGAACCGCGGTCAACTACTTGGGAGTCCAGCGACATAGCCATTATGCTAACTGCTGGTCCCTCGCCTGGGGACTTTTAAGAAGTCACTGTGCCTAAATTGTACCCACACCAACTAAATCAAAACCTCAGGGAGCAGAACCCACACATGAATATTTGTAACTTCCCACATGACTCTCATGTGCAGCCAGAGACCTGTTGCTGAGAAGCGTCGTCCAAAAGCTGCGTACCTACCCTCACCTCCTCTACCTACAACACCGATAACGGAGAGCAGTCAGCACCTCGCATATTTGGGAGTTGCCAGGAGAGGGCTCTGGTTATGTGCTCTACCCCAACCTGACTGCCGTGTGAGGAAGGTGAGGGAGGCTCTGAAACACTCGCTGGGTTGCTGTCATTCTAATGTAAAAGCCTTGGCCAGGAGCAGTGCTGATGAAGGCTGTGCACATGCCAGTGAGGCCAGCCTCCTTGGGGCAAGGCGAATGCATACAGAGGCCTCAGACTGATCCCGTCTGCCTGGTACACTCATCTGGGCTGGTCCCAATCTGCTTCCCACACTCTGAAGGATGAACCAAAGGTGTGCCTTTATCAAGGCCAGAAAGCTATTCTAATACGGGCCTATTGATGCCTCCTTTGCGGCCAAAGTTTAAGAAGTATGAGGATTAGGCACTTGGGCATGATGGCTAAAGGTAAGTGAGCTAGACCCAGGATCAAGTCCTGCTTTATCACTTACCAGGTGTGCGACTTTGACTAAGTTTCCTAATCTATTGAAGCCTCAGTTTCCTCACTACTAAACAGAAGTAATGGGAGGGACCAGCAGATGGCATAATGGCTACATCACCGGACTCCGATGTAGTCTGCGATTCGAGTCCTGGACCCAAGAGCTTAAATTCATGCTGGGCGCGTGTGCATGGTGCCCAAGATCCCAAGAGGAGAATGGAGGAAAAGGGACTGTGGTGTGGCCATCTCCCTTGGGGGGGAGGGGGGTGATTTCTCGCTTTCTGTCTCTGTCTCTTTCTGTCTTTCTGGTGAGCTCACGCATCCTACAGCAAAAACCTCTCCAGAAAAATGAAGGGAAATTGGAGAGAATTCAATGAGGTAACATATAAAAAGCACTTAGTACAGTGCCCAGCCAAGGCATCCACTGGAGGTGAATACGGTTTTTACGTATAACTGTGGCCAACACCTACCATGTATTAACACTGAGGTGCACAGGCTGCCCATGGTTCTCCAACTCTAGAACACGTGGAAGAGTAAGAGACCAGGCCTCAGGACTCAGGACTAGGTGCTGCCACAGGCAAAGGGAAGCCAAGCCCGTGGAGTTGCAAGTACGTCAATGGCCGTACAAATGTGGTCGGATTGCACAGGACAGTCGGGATGAGGCAGATTTACCACCGAAGCCCGCGTATGAAGGAGCACTCACACTCTCGGGCACTTCTCACTCATTGTACCACATTCTCCCAGGAGAACAATAGACCGTTAGTACTAGACTGACTCTCAGGAATCATCGTTTACAGAATCCTCCACGTAAAATTGAGGAAACTGAAGCCCATAGTCAAGCAGCTGGCCTGGGCATCACTTAGGAGAGCAGCAGCCCAGGACCGAACTTGGGCTTCCTGGGCTCAGGTCAACACGTTTCTCGTGGTTCCAGTGTCCTTTATAAGACAGGGGAATAAGAGGCGTCTGTGACCTGGGGGATAAAGTGGCTGGATCTCACATGGCTGATCAAGTGTAAGTCCCAGACCTGGTGGCTTTTAAAAACATAGCAGGTGTGTGTGCATGCCCAAACTCCTGAAAGGAGGGACAGCTGGAGGAGAAGGGATTGCAGCATGACCATCTTCCACAGAGGGCACTTTCTCTCTCTTCCTCTCGCTGTCTTTCTCTGACAAGTGCACACACTCTCTGACATTTTTTTTTTTAATGTGAATAACTAATTAGCATTGAGAATACTGAAACCAATAGATGGCATAATGGTTACATCATGGACTCCCACATAGTAGACTGTGGTTCGAGTTCCAGACCTAGCAGCTTAAAACTCACGCCAGACACGTGTGCATGCGTGCCCAAAATCCCGAGAGGAGAATGGAGAAGAAGGGACGGTGGCATGGCCATCCCCCCGGGTGGTGATTTCTTGCTTTCTGTCTCTCCATCTCTCTCTGCTCTCTCTGGTGAGCACACGTGCCCTATAGCAAATCTCTCTCTCTCAAAAAAAATAGAGAATACTAAACATTTCTGTTTATTCTAACCACTGGACAACATAAAAAGAACAACCTTATTAGGTACTTAGAAAATTTAGAACTCAAGATTTTATAGATCAAGTCCAAGACAAGATTTTGCCCACAACCATCTGGGGAAATCCTTTGACTCCTTTGAGGGTCTCTATTCCTTGAAATAGAGTAGCAGACACTTTCTGTAAAAGGCTGGACAGTAAAGTTTCTGGTTTTGTAGACCATGTGGTCTCTGTTTTAAGTACTCAACTCTGCTATCACAGACCAAAGTAGCTGCAGACAACACACAGAGGAAGTAACATGGCCGTACTCCAGTTAGCACTTGATTTATGGACTCTTGGATTTCAGATACTTTCACATTATGCAATATTGCTCTTCTTTTGAATTTTTCTCAACTGCTAGAAAATAGCAAAACCATTCTTCGTTGGCGACTACAGGGAAATGGTGGTGAGTGGGATTTGAGTCTCAGGTCAGTTAGCCAACTTCTGCTCCAGGAATGAGCTCGGCAAGATCTGCTCCACTACTTTGCACAACATGAAATGTCTTACAAGTAAATATATGAATTACATAAGAATAGAGACGCCTTAGTTTAATTGTTGTTTGAAAACAAAACAAAACACTAGAGATTCTAGTTACATTCTGTGTAAACCAAACCAAGAACATAAAGAAGATTTTGGAAAAGGTCGTTCTAGGTGACAGTTAGAGGAAAAATAGCATTCTAGTTTATAAGAAAAAAATTATCTCAGTAGGATCTGCAACTCATGTGGTTCAGAACAAGTTACTCTGGGACACAATTACTGGGAGACTTTTAACAGATTTAGCAATATTTCCTGGAAGAAAATAAGCTGTTGAGAGAAACTATAATCTCCTTAGAACAGTTGCAGGGAGGAAAGGGGTGTTCAGATGACGAAGGATGAGTCCTAGCCAATGAGCAAAAGTAGAGCCACTGAATAGAAATAAAAAGAAGGAAGACATCAGCTCAATAGACACAATAACTTTGTAAGAGCCAGACTTGTCCAATGGTGTGACGAACTAGTGTGCCCAGAGCAAGCTCTCCATCCCTGGGAGTTCAGATAGAAGCTGGTCAACCATCTGTCAAGGATGGGGAATGGATGTCACCTTTGCCTATGAAAAAAGGTCAGGTAAATGACCTTGCAGGTTCCTTCTTGGCTCTAAAATTCTGAATCTGTAAAAGGATTAATGGATAGCAGGCCCTTTGAACATTTGGTAACCCCTAAAAATCTGAAGGACCACATTTGTAGGGAGGAGTCAGATCTGAGCAACATAATAATGACCTTTAAAGACGAGTGGAGGAGATAAGGTCCTTTTGCTGAGGTTGAAAGGCTAGCGAAAGCTCTAACGACATGATCCACTTTTCCTTGCACAGCATGGCGGCGTAAATCAAAGGAAGCTCTGTGTCAGCCAGAGGAGGCCTGGGTAGGCTTGTTTAGAACCACAAGACGCTCTACAGTTACAATCGATGATAAAAAACACCTGGCTTCACCTTCCACTTCTCTGTGGTGATCTTCATCAGAGATGCTGGGTCCGCCCAGTCCCCACTTTTCTCTGCTTGTGTGTCTGTTTTTTCCAAAATCCACCATTGCTCCCACTTGGGTTCCCATCCCTCACCTCACAGGCCTAAGCACACATTCACACATTCAAGTGGGTGTGCTTCGTATGAAAAGATGGAGAACATCTCCCCTTGCTGTTACGTAGAGACTCGACATGGAAGGCACTGGGAAGCTTGTGTCCCCTCTCATCTATAATCAGAGAGGACAGTGAGAAGTTTCTCAGCCTTCCCAAGTCCCATTCAAACCAGCCTCACCACTACTTGCCAGACTCACTTCCCAGAGTGAAGGTTTCAAGAGGGGTGTGGTAGAGCAGGCTGTCTCCTTGGGTCTTTCTCAAGCTCACTTGGATTTGGTGTTGGACCCAAACAATGGGTAGAAGGAGCTGTCAGGAAGGCTTCCGCAACTGGATTATAGGTGAAAGGATGGGACGGAAGAGATAGGTAGGAAAATGAGTGGATTATTCAAAAGCAGGTCATGGAAGGCAAAAGGGGAAAAGAGAAGCTTGGAAAGAGAAAGGTACTCCCTCAGTCCTCTCTTGGACAGTCCCCAGAATCCAGGCTTCCTCAACTCTGAGTCCTGTGCTGACAGGGAGGTCCCACTTCCTGCCCACTGATGTGAACTGATTTTGGGTGTCTATGAAAGAAACAAATGTCTTACCCTTCTCGTTCATCATCCGTGTTGTAATACACCTGTGGAACGAAACAATAGGCTTACTGTAGGTCAGAGACAAGAATGGAAACATTATGTGATGCACAGACTTTCCTAAGGCATCGACTGTCTCTTAAAAAGACAAAAGATATACCTGTTTAATGACGCTGTGTATGCGTGTGTGTGCGCGCTTCTATGGAGATGTTAACTTAACCTCTTCACATCTCCCTGACAGCTCTCTGCAAAATTGGTGGGTGACTCAAAGAGGAAGGCAGCCTTCACTAATTCTTAGATTTTAATGAAATAAAATTGGAAATCTGATTATTTCTAGCTAAAGTCAATAGGATCAGATGACTTATGGACATACACCAAATCCTGTCTGACATTAAGGAAATATTTTGGCAGACTCTAAAATTCCTGGTTTAGAAAGGCTCTGACTCGCAGAGTGGCTATGAGAGCAGGGATTGTGAGTAATTCAGCCCATCTGATCCATAGGCAAGATGGCACCAGATACTGTGTTACTGGGGAGGAGATGGCAATGGGGACCCATGGGGGGACAACAGTAAGTCCAGGCTTCTGTTTACTCCCCGCAGGGGCCTGGATTACCTTGGCAACCCACGGCTGTACAAGTCAATGGTCTTTGGGCTGGGAAAGGCCATTTAGCTCTGAAAAGATGTTCCTGGGCAGAAGGAAGAGCTCTAATGATCACAGGCTTGAGACAAACTTCTGTGGGTAGTCAGCACTGCTGCAGGCTAAATCAGAGCTAATGAAATTGTGAGCATCCTTATGATTCTATGGCTCTATGGGAGAAATCAAGAAGGATTCGTGACGTGTATTCACCCTCCTGACCCAATTTGTTTTTCACAGAAAAAGGCCCCAATCAGGTCTTTATACCAAGACCTACCCCCAGCCTGAATCATGGGCACCCATGCACAACCAGCGTGCTCAGGGAGGTTCCAGGATGCAAACACGGGACCCTCCCATGTGCGTCAACCTTGCAGAGCACTGAATTACTGTTGCACCACCCAGCAGGCCCCTTTACTCAATTATAGATACAAAGTTAACTGGAGGGAACAGATGGTGGTGCAGCGATAATGATGACCCACATCAGAAGGTTCTGGGTTTGTGTCTGGATATCTTCCCGAGTACACCGGGTGTGTGCATATGCTCATGATCCCGACTTGTTGAGACTGGAAGTGGATCTTGGTTGAAGACTGTCTTAAGAGGGCCTTTCTCTCTTTCTCATTCATGGAATAAATGAACTTAAAAACAAGAAAAGGTAGTAGGCCTTTTGTGAGTGAGCTTTATTGTATGCTCTGGAACCCTTTGCATTTGGGTAAAGAACAATACCTGAGTTAGTATCAAACACTTCCACATCAACTTCAAACGTAACCTGGGATCCTAGTACATTGGGTCGCTGTCCCTGCTTCAGTCTGGTAGAGAAACAGCGGTGCCTGGTCTGCCCTCCCTGCAAACTTTCTCAAAGTCTTCTGGCAGCTCCTGGGATGCTGCCAAACCTGGACCTCATTGCATAACGAAACTGGTTACCTGGAACTCTCTGGACACGAGTCATTCTAGTCATTAGCTCAGATTACTAGAGAACGTCATCCCCTTAAAAAAGATTTCTTATGGCTCTTGTTTTACTGTATATTTTGCTTCTTCTTAAACGGAAAACAATGAAGGTCAAGTTGGTTTCCCCCCACCCATGTTTCAGTGTGGCGTCCAGAGCATCTTGTGTGAACTAGAAATGGGACTGTCCAGGCACAGGCATGCGGAGTAGCCCACATCAGCCAGGGCACTTGTCCCTGTTTCCAGCAATACGACTAGGTTGTTTTGAAAATGTCCCTGGTGGGGGCTTGTGTTCTCCTGGTTTCTTTGATGGTAACATGATGAGTCTCCCCTGCCTGACTCCCCAGCAGGGCAACAGACAGCTCTCTGCAAAGTTGGTGGTGACTCAAAGACAGAAGGTAGCCTTCACTTTCACGTTTTCCTTCCCTCCTGAGGGACGTCTACTTCACTCTCTGATCTCTGTCCATTCCTTGTCAGATCTCCTCCTCTCACATAACCCAACCAGTTGGGGCCACTTCATTTTTTAAAAATTGCTAGAGTGTGCATGCACACCCCAGAGAGAGGCAGAGAACGAGAGGTGGAGAAATCAGCCCCCTCCCCCAGGAGAGACAGCCACACCGAGATCCCTGCTCCTCTATTCTCCCCTGAGTTCCAACCTCCCGGGTCTGGAACTCAAATCATGCAGTCAGCCATGTGGGATTTAGCTGGCTTAACCACCACACCACCAGCTGGCCCACAGTAGCTTATTTTCAAAGCATATGTTTCAAACTTTAGAATGCATAGAAAACATCCGGTGAACACCACAAATGCAAATTCCTAGAACCCAGTTCAGAGGCTTTATTTCAAAGACCTGAAATGGAACTTAAGAGATTCATATCAAGAACTCCTGTGATTTAGGAGAACATAGTGTATAAAACACAATCTGAGGGAACCAGCAGTTAGCGTAATGGCTATGTCGCTGGATTCCCACGTAATCGACCGCGGTTCGCGTACCGGACCCGGTGGCTTAAAACTCACGCCGGGCGCGTGTGCGTGCGTGCCCAAGATCCCGAGAGGAGAATGGAGGAGAAGGGCATAAGGGGCTTTAATAGGAGGCGAGTGAGATTGATGGTCTCCGCAGTGCCTGCCCATTGGATTCCTTTCCTTCTATTAGTTTTTCATAGTCGTGTAGAGGACATTCGGGGCTGGCTTGACACAGCAGTAACGTGCTGCTCAAGTGATGCTGAATGCACAGGGAAGATGACACGTTAGAATCCCCAGTCAACCTGTACGTGCCAGGTGCGTGTGCCCGTGACCCTGTCCATCTAGGGATGCTGGGAGCAGATATTGCAGCCTGAGACCCTGTAGAAGATGCTTCTCTTCCTCTCTCTTTCTCATGAAAGAATTAAGGAAAAAAATAAATAAATAAGGACTGGCTCCACGGTCTAGTGGAGCCAGATCTCACATGGCTGACCATGTGGTTTGAATCCCAGCCTTGGCAAATTGAATGCCTGTCTCCCCCCCCACCCCCCACACCGCCAAATCCAAACAGGATGGAGAAATGGAGGAGAAGGGATTATGGCATGACAATACCCCATCGGAGGGGGCTTTCTTCCTCTCCCTCCCAATCTCTCTGTTTTTCTCTGGCTAGCATATTTACCTTTTGGAAAGTAAAAAAATAACTCCTCTTCCCCCAATAATAATAATAATAATAATAATTTTCCAGCCCACATATGAGTCAATGTGACAAGGGTGTAGTGGGGGCAGAGAAGGGCATGCAGGCTGACAGTGAAAATGCCTACTCCTCTGCCCTGCCCTGCCATTGGGTGGGTGGGAACTG